TTAATTACTGTAAATGTGTTCAATACAAATATAATATTTATAGTTTTTCATTATTTATCGGGTTTAGAAAAAATAGCGTATGCAACTCTCATGTAATGGTTATTAATACACTCGCATATACCATACAAAACTCGCCTTCGGCTCGTTTCGTATCCCGGTTAATGCTCGTGTCTTAATAACCATCATTACATGATCGTTGCATAATATATACTATTATTGAAGAGTATCCATGGTAGGTACCCGATGCCACCAAGTGTACATAAAGTCTTAATACACGGCTCCAGTATTATAGAACATGCTATACTTCCAATAGGCCAACTGAGCGAAGAAGCTCAAGAAGCCCGCAACAAAGATTTCAAGAGGTATCGCGAGTATTATTCTCGCAAGATATCACGTACTGCAACGAACGAAGATGTCTTTCGCTTGCTCCTCATAACATCTGATCTTTTCATCACCAGCATGAGAAAAGAAGAAAGCAGTATCGCTCGAAAAAGATGTATTGTCTTTAGTGAAGGAACCAGACGTGGGTATCTCACAAGATAGCGACAGCAGCGAATCATTGATGAGCAATAATTTCGACGAATCGCTATGAAAATGAATATTTGTGTGAAATGAATAATTTGACCCTTCACTGACAACATACAAATAACAAATACCAATCTAGCACCACTTTCCAATGTGACATTCTTCTCGAAAAACATGAAAAAACAATAGATTAATTTCTGCCAACAATTCGTATATTTGGAACCACTGTGCGCCGTGGGAAAACGAGTCGAGGTATATATGACCATCCTTGATGATTATGATGATCTTAAACATATATTTTTCAATATGCCCCAAACAATTTATATATCAATGAAGGCAATATTGAGATTTCTGTAAAATATTAGGTACCTTACTAGATTTCAATCTGAATGGTATTTCAATCTGAATGGTTGTCAAATGGATTCACTTTGTGACTCGCTTTTACAGGTTAGTTAAACTCTCAGAAAGCCTCACTTGTGCAACAACCTTTATTGTGCGAATTTTTTTAGGGTAACGAATATTTAATTTATTTAGGAAATTCTCCTGGTACGACAAGTGTTTTCAAATTATGAAAAAAAGCTATGCATATACCTAATTCTGAATACGAAATTCAGGTACTCAACGTATGGGCGTTTTCAAAGTGAATGTTTTTTTTTTTTGATAATACCAGTTATATGTTTATGAACACGTTTTTTTAAAAAGATAAGAACGTTTTCTGACCTGTGTCCTGTGTCCCCAACATAACCTGCGAGAGAAATTGTCATTACAATTTTAGTGTTCTCCTGAGAATGCTAACTTGATGAGCGAAACGCACGTCGAGAGACAGTGTGGGAGAAGTATTTTTTATAGAATATCATTCAGTTATGAAGTATAATACTTCAACTCCAAAATTAAATATTTTTAGATGTATTTCTGATACAACTCTGATTATTAGGAATAATCGTTTAGAAACTATTTTCAGATGATTGAAAATTATGGACTTGCTGTTTTATTTTGTTTCAATGCAAATATATGAAAATCTAATGCCATCTGAGATGATGGCAAAATATCGACCTTTGCAGAATGTACCATGGATGAACACCCATAGTATAGTTCAAAGTGTTAATTTGGTGTCAGATATTTACCTGACAGGTATAATTGGAACCTCTGATTTAGAATGAATCCAATACAAATTCTCATCTGGATAGAACTGAAACACTCTTCTTGACCCGCATTTCAATGAGTTAACATCAGCAAATGAGGTAGGTATATAGGTAAGACAAACGTCAAGAAGAATATTGCAGGTCATGTGTGTGTGGGGGCACATATTATTATCATGATTATTACCTTTCAATCTAATAACATTTGTGAGAGCCTTGCAAATTGACCCAATCTCAAACCAAATAATCTCAAAATCTACCTATTTCATTATCACTTTCGACTGTACAAATACAGTGTTATTTGTCTCACAACACATAAGGTAATGAAATGACTACCACAAATTGACGAAAAATATCACTTTTTTATTATATTTTTTTTATATATAAAAATGTCAATAAACTATGTTATCACAATTTTTAGTGATGAAGTACATATCTACGAACTTTACACATATTGAAATGTATAAAAAGTCTCACTTTTTTAAAAAGTAAACCTAAGTTTATTTGAGATCACAATGTTCTTTAAATATTTGGTAAGAAACCATCAAACTTAATACTGAATCTATTCGTAATTAACAATCATATTTCTCAGTTCTGAATCAAACATTAAGAGTTTCTATTCTACACAAACATCTGTTATGACTAATATCACAAACACAAAATTATTATGAAGTTTTTTCTTCTGAATTCATACACTTATCACAAATATGGGGTTTGGCAAACCATACCCTAGCTTAAAACTTATCTATCACTAAGATATGCAGATCCCAACTAAATACAAGAATCATTTACCCACATTATGTTGAATAAATGAATAATACTTCAAAAAACTGAACAAACAGGGTGATTGAAAATACATCTATTTATTTGTATGTTCTCATTCATGTAATATTTCAAGATTATTGAAATGGTACTAATTCTTGTTATCAGTAAACTTACACACTCAATTCAACTAAAGTACAAAAATTAAAAATAACATTGGTTGAGGATTACTGAAACAAGGAACTGTGAACTTCAACAAATCAATATCGTTAACTTTCCAAACAATATCAATGTCAAAATTCCATAGTATATTTATGAATTTTGTGATAAACAATCAATAATTTTTTTTTACCAATGGCAATATATGTATTTTTCAAACACCCTACTTGTAAACAGTGAATGAAATCATAATACCAATAAACTCCATATCACAGGATGCTGATGGCAAACTTCAGTCACTATTTGATCTATATAATTGTTTTTTGTGAAGGTCGTACTCCGGGCTGATCATTACTGTGCCACTCCTCGTTATTTTCCTGAAAAGAAGGGTATTATTTAGTTTTGTTTCCTGTAAAAATTTCTCTTCCCTAACCCTCTATCACTTTCATTTTTCAGTCACAATATCAATTCTTTCAAATCTCTTCCCTCTTTTTCTTTAAAATATTCTATCCTCCTCTAATCACTATATCTTTTACTCCTCTTCAACATCCTCACTAGTTCGGATTATTTATTTTATATTCGTATAATACACTTGGCAACAATTGAACAGAATAATTTTGAAATTCCTAAAATTAACACAAAATATTTTGTCTGCAATTGCGTTTAAAATACTACAAAAAAAAAACTAATATGGTCCAAAATATGTACATAACATTATACACTTTAATTGTTGACCAGTTTATTTCATTTCATTTATTTTAAATTTTTCTACTTTTCCCTCAATCAACTTAATTTCCATACATTTTCACTTCGCCGTTTTTTTTGCAGTACTCACTTGAGGAATTGTGGCAAGAACGAATTCCATCCGGCAGTCGACTGTTTGAGTGTGAGGTATAATTCAAAAGTTGAAGGGGTCATTGGATCACATTTGACCATACTCAATTTCGTCTTGACCTCATCAGCTTCAAAATTGATATACAATATGCAACCTCTCAAACCGCAAGGTTCCGTATCTGCTAATTGAAACATATCCTGGGCTATAGAATGTGTTAAACCATTAGGCAGAAGAACTTCGCCGGCAGAAAGGTGGGTTCGTTTTGCTTTCCTGAGTTCACCCTCTAGTATTTTTGATAATGCTTCTACTAAGGCTGTTTCTTCAGGTGTATAAAATTCCTTGTACTCTGATTGTTGGTCTGTAAAAAAAACAATTTATAAACTTTTTTATTTATATGCATTCGAAAAAAGTATGAAATTGGATAATAAGAACTGATTCTTGTTGATAAAATTCAAAGGACAGAGAAAGCCAAGTGAAATTTTGTTATCCATTCAGTTTTCATCTATGTTTCATTTGTTTCAACTTTCCAATGTATGTCAATAACTGTTTTTAATTAGAAATAATTTCATTTTTTTATTGATACGTAGTTGTATTTCAAACTTTTCTAAATAATCAAGGCAAACATTTCCGCAAACCTTTCTTCTTTCCATTCTTAACCATTTTCAAATACAACAAAGGCTTTTTTATAGCACCTCAACAAGATGTCAACAAAACAAAAAAAACATTAAATTACATCAAACAACCACGCGTCTTGAGAAAATCCTAGTAACTCTTTTGTACACCTGCATAAGTTTTCAGGCGAGTAGCGACTCGCCACAAAGTGACACATCTGTATAATACTGAACACAACAACAAAGGATTTTTATTGGAATAAAATCCATTAGTTTCAATATATTCAAATATCCAGCAATTTGTCACTTTTCAATAATTTTGTCTTAGACCTGACTAGTATAAATGAGTTTCTAGGAAAGAAAGTTATGGATGAGATGCCCTTCCCTTACCCCCAAAAGAATACTAGATATGCCACTGTCAACAACTGAAAATTAACAAAGAAAAATGTTTGTATTCAAATTTGTTTGCTTGAGTATCAAAATAAGGAAATTATTGCATATGAATATTTACTAATAGGTACTAGACTGGTTAAAAATATCCTCAAACAAAGAAAACAATGTTAAATGAGCTGAAGTTATGAAGGAAATTCAGAACCAATCAATACCTATAAATTCAACAATTCATTAGCGAGTTTTCAACAATAATGTATTATACAAGAGTACCTATATCTACTAAAAGTTTTATCTACTTCCGCAAAAGATGATTTTGTTTCCTGACCAATTTTAAATACATAACTATGACAGGCCTATTTCATAATAACCAGGATAATAGGATTAATTGATGGGTCATCGCTTAGGTAAGAAATTGAGATATGAAAACTGAATCAATTGAAATCAATTAAACACTTTTTGCTCCTCACAACTTTGACAGATTCATTATGAACCAGAATTGAATGCAAAAACTAATCGAATGAAACCAAGTGAAACTTGTGTTGCCAAGCGAAGTTTTCGAGGTCATCAGAGGTTACAATTCGAAAGCCGGCTCGGCTCTCGGTGAAAAAGAAGCCGGCATAGCAACAACGACAACACTGATGTAAAGACGAATTTCGAATGGGAAAATTTTCAATATTTTAAATTAAACCGATTATTCGAAAAACTACACTAATGAAAATAATTATGGAACACTCATAAAGTGCTTCTATCAAAATGTTTTATTCAACACTTAAGAAACACTTTTCATAACAGTCTCTCGATGATTTTTATAGCAATAATAATAAAAAACTTCTGAATCTCATAATATAACGTTACCGGCATTTATGTCAGAAAAGTTTTGAACTAAAAACAAATTAAAGGAAACAAAGGATTCATACCTTCTGAATTATTATACTTCGCTAAAGATAGGACTTCCATATTTCCACTATTTTATTAGGTATTATTTGCAAATTTTAGAGAAAAGTTATATGTAACTTTAACACAAACAGAACAATGGAGAAAAATTTATCCCGAAATATCAACACATATACTCAACGACAAAGAACTTGTATATATGAAAACCAGATCAGCTGTTCGCTTTGTTTATAAGGGAACGAATCCCCCACTTGGACGATCTGTGACCGAACAACGATCGTTTGAATTCGGAATACATGCCTACGTGATCAAACGTTCATCAGCTCAAAGCAGCGACGTGCTAAAAAACACCACAGTGAAGTCGGTAATTCGGGTTAATGATGAAATTTTCAGTCTTTCGGATGATAAATACACTTCTCAAGTAATGAGTAACCATTATTTTAATATTAATAAATAAATTATGGTTTTTTACCGCAATCCACAAGAAATATAATATATATTATTCAGACTCGTTGTAAATGAAAAATTGGTAAAATCAAAAGTATCTCGATGCTGAATTTCAGTTTTTATTGCAGTGTCACATTGAATCAAAAATCAAATTTATTACTTTCATTTGTTTATAACAACCTATAAAACTATTCATTCACTTTTTTCAAACTAAGGTGGAACCTAACTGTCTTTATTTTAATTGATTATCATTGAACATGGTCCGCCATGTTTTCATTTGTAGTTTTAATTACAAAACGGAACTACAGTGTTGCTTGCAATGAAGTCATCATATCGTTCACTCTTTTTTATTTCAATTTTATTCAATTTCTTTGTGTGACGATTTTAGTCATTTGGTTTTCGTTCTGAATGTCAATCCAGCAACATAAGGTAGGTACTAGGTTAGCGAAGTGTTTCTGTAGGTTTTTCTATATATTTCAAGGGCATCAACATATGGGCACCGTGTATTGTGAATATTATGTAAATAACTATAAGCTACCTAGAAAGTATCGATGGCTACATGCAGTCCCATCGGTCATATAATGTACCAGGCCCAACTAACACCTTAGAACTTAATTATTCCACGGGCAGAAGAGAAACGTCTACGAGGATAAATAATGTGGTGGCATTTTCCTTGAATATTTAACTTCAAAGTATATCAACTAACTCATGCCGAATTTCTGAAAAGAAAAGTATCCTCAATAAGGGACTATATGGAAATTCAGATAGACCTAAATGCGCTGTGAGAATACTGCAACCGTAATAAGTTGAAATTTCAAATAAATTTAATATAATACGTGGTAGGAGATCATCATGAAAAATGAGAAATAAAACTTTATGTTTTTATACCACCTCTATTTGTAACTAACTTAACCCTTATATATTAACCATTGTAGGTAATGAGAAACGGTACTTAATGACTTTATTACTTGAATTTTGTTCACCTGTGACAATGTGGTTACGCTAATTTGAAATCTGGCAAGTAGACCAGGTCGATTTGGTCATTCAGTGGGTTACATCCGTAATGGTTATGCTTATGAATTTCCGAAGATTTCAAATAATTGAGTTTCCAATCTTGTCCACTTTATGTGGACACGATGGAGAAGATAGAATTGGCCTCGGTGATAGTGCGCCCGACTCACGTTCGGAAGATCGTGGGTTCGATTCCCGCCTCGATCAGATATTTTTCTCGAGAGAATTTAACTGGTTGAAGTGGGGATGATTCTGCAACCGTGTTAGGAATCACACGTTAAAAGGTAAGACCTCGTTAGTTCTTAGCTCGCACAAGTTTCTCAACTTCGGAGACTTGTCGTTCGTATGTGGGCGACAGCTGATTAACGGAAAACAGATTTCAAACAGATTTTTTTATCTTTGGCATTGAATATGAAATGGCATGTTGCCTGAATGCCACTTCCACATGGTTTTTTTTTAGAAAAAAACAAGATGGGAGTGGCATTAAAAAGGAAATTAGAAAACCTGGCATATGACCACTTCCACATTGTTTTTTCTTATATTACCTGAATGTTGTTCACCTGTGACAATGTGGTTACGCTAATTTGAAATCTGGCAAGTAGACCAGGTCGATTTGGTCATTCAGTAGGTTACATCCGTAATGGTTATGCTTATGAATTTCCGAAGATTTCAAATAAATGAGTTTCCAACCCTTGCCTGCATAGTACAAAATTCCCGTATGGTTTAGATTTGGGAACTTGTGAGTGCATTACATGTAATGGTTTGAAAACGTCGAATCATTTTTAACTAGTCTGAAGGACCTTTCATGTTCAGCATACCGTTTCGAGAATATTCGGCCACATTGTCCCATTACAATATTACACTCCGGACACTTAAGCTCATAAATTCCAAATTTCTCCATCTTGTCCACTTTATGTGGACAAGATGGAAAAGATGGAATTGGACAAGATAGAATTGGCCTCGGTGGTAGTGCGCCCGACTCACGTTCGGAAGATCGTGGGTTCGATTCCCGCCTCGATCAGATATTTTTCTCAAGAGAATTTAACTGGTTGAAGCGGGAATGATTCTACAACCGTGTTAGGAATCACACGTTAAAAGGTAAGACCTCGTTAGTCCTTAGCTCGCACAAGTTTCTCAACTTCGGAGAGTTGTCGTTCGTATGTGGGCGACAGCTGATTAACGGAAAACAGATTTCAAACAGATTTTTTTTATCTTTGGCATTGAATATGAAATGGCATGTGGCCTGAATGCCACTTCCACATGGTTTTTTTTAGAAAAAAAAAATGTGGGAGTGGCATTAAGAAGGAAATTAGATAACCTGGCATATGACCACTTCCACATTGTTTTTTCTTCAGCAGACAAGGGTTGGAAACTCAATCATTTGAATTCCTTGGAAATTCATAAGCATACGCATTGTGGATGTAATGTACCTACTAAATGACCAAATTGACCTAGTCCACTCCCAGTTTTTCAGATTTGCGTGTCAACATTGTCACAGGTAAACATAGTTCAGGTAATAAAGTCATTGAGTATCGTCTGTTGTTACCTAGAATGGTGTATAGATATATAAAATTTAACATTGTTAATTATTTCAGTGTACTGTATAAGTTTGAAAGTGTCCTTGTAGGACGAAACTACAGTAACGTTAGTTACAAATCAATTGGTATTAAAACATTTAAAGTTGTATTTCTCATTTTTCATATTATTTCTGTAATTTTTCAGTTCATTTTTGATATCAGTGTTAGTCGAATAAATGATCTTATAGTACTTTAATTCTAAGACCCGATGCACACGGAGGTATAATTCCCAATGCAATTATGCTTTGAGATGGTCTTTGCTCAAATACATAATCTTTAATGAGGAGCCAACGGATACGAGTGTATGTGACACTCGTCACATACATACATACAAAAATTATGTTACTATAGGAATAAGGAGGACAAAGAAAAATTATATTCGATTTATTATGTGTCCATAAAATCTTAACAAATGACTACGATTCGCCCATTTTAGTACTAGTACTAAATTACACAGATAAAGGGCATTTCAAAAAGTATCTACGCCCAACAATAACCTTAACGAATGAGAGTCTGAATGAAGTATAATTAACGAAGAAATTATATTGAAGTCTTATCAATTTTTTATAAATGTGTCTAGTCACCTTGTTATTTCTTCTCGACATTACTTCTAGGAAATTTGGTATGTCAACTATAACAGGCCCACTTCGAAAGTGACTATATTTATTAAGAATTACTGTTTGAGCCATTCGATAACACATTGATAATATATTCACCTTGGCGATATCGTGATGAATCATTTTTAAAAGATGAGTCACAATGTTTTTGCCGAGAAAGTGGTTTCAGAAATAATAAATTTTACATTTTAATACATTCTCAATGGAGGTTTAAGTCTTTTATGTCGACTATTATATCACGACAAAATTTACGTCACAAGAATTTTGTAATGGAAATAATGCAAATATTTTCCTCTGTGTTCCACTATTTTACAAATAGTCAATTATGGTTATCGTATGGTTATTCATGTTAATGAATTCATAAGAGGTTGAGATAAACGGTATTCATATAATAAAGCATGTTTGATTTTTTTCGCCAAGAAGTTGAATAATTGTTTGATTTTTACTAATTTTTGACAATGTCATGTCAATATTTCTAACTTATTCGCAAACCTAGTGGTTCAAAGTCCTAGTGTTCTAATTCTCGACTACTGAATTACTTTACATATTTTTTTCATATTGGTAAAAATAAGTCAAAAAAGCGTAATCTGATCTACTAGCAAATAGGCCGACTTAATCGAAAGTCAAATTTGACTTGATTCTAACCGATAATGTAGATTTCACCAGTCAAGATCACAGCAAAATTCATTTTTATGTTTACCGAGCTTTGCTTGATTTTACTTGAGCTGATATCAAATAGCTATTAATGCATTTGGATATGAGACAAAGTTTAACGATTTTCATCATCACTTTGGAAAATTATTTACCTCATTCACGGCATCGTCCTTACGAAGTTTGACTAATATTTCATACTATGGCAAAGCTTGAGTTCAAAAATGAACAACATCAAAAAACTTTCATTGTATATGTTGCCACCAGAAACAATAAAATTTATTTTGATATTCAACAGGTAAAAACGTAACAAAAATAACCTCCTTTGTCTCGGTTTAGATGATGCAACACGGAACTTTTTTACGGCTCGAAATATACGTTGCTTCCCTGTAAGAACGCCACTGAATGTATGTCATATTGGGTTTAATTCGAGAATAACCTGATGTGTTTGTTGGAGATAGCATGATGCAACAATCTTTCTGCCTTAACATTGAACTCTTACACCGATGAAGAAAATATGATGAAAAGACAAAAATGAATATCTGCAGAAGGTACATATCTTTCAAAAATATAATTTTTGTTTAGGGGTGACATACCTATGTGGTTCTTTTCAGTTTTGTTTTCTTTGTTCTCCGTTATGTATCTACCTAGCTATACCTACCTATTAGGTAGGACCTAAAATTATTTTATAACTCATTATTACAAATTATTTTACTCTTCAAAAAAATTGACCGTGGTTAACACCATAGTTGTGTAATTTGTAATATTACAGGCTTTTAAAATGAACCGTCGTATACAGGATGCTGTCTATTCACCGTTTAAGCAATGTTTTTTTTCGTAGTCCCCATTTTGAAAAAATATGTAAAAAAAATAAAACTTCACTTAGATGGCCATGACTTCAAATGTAGATGTATTTTTTAATGCTGAACAACTTTTC